CAGACCCAGGAAGCACAGAAAACAGCAAGAAAGGTAAACACTACACCTGGGCATCTTTCAGTTAACCTATAAAAAATCAAAGACAGTAACAAAATCTCGGAAAAGGCCAGAGGTAAAAATACAGGTTACCTACAGAGAAACAAGGATAACAATTATACTAGAATTCTTACCACAAACCATGCAAGCAAGAAGGAAATGGAGTGACCTATTTAGTGTTGAAAGAAAAAAATTACCTACGTTACGATTCTGTGTCCAGTGAAATTATCCTTCAAAAGTGAAGGCAAAATAAAGACTTTTTTTCTCAGGCAAAAAATGGGGAATGTAACTCGTAGATCTGCCTTGCACAAAATGTTAAAAGAAGTTCTTCAGAGTGAAGGAAGATGATATAGCTCAGAAACATGAATCTCTGTAAAAGGAAAAGCTTTAGAGAAGGAGATGAAAACAGGCTTTCGTTTTTCTTAATTGATCTAGCAACTATTTAAAGTAGTAATTGCAGCACTGTATTGGAAAATTGTAACATGGGTAAGGGAAATGAACAACAGCAAGGTTAAAAGAGATGGGACAAGAAAATTGGGAATACCGTGTTTTAACTGATTATATTTCAATTAAGAAGAAAACAGTAGAGTATTCCAAGGAAAACAGACACAGATCAATAGAAACATAATTGACAGCCCAGAAATAAACCCATGCATATATAGTCAATTAATTAAAGACAGACGTGCAACAATACATAATGGGGACAGGACAGTCTTCAATAAGATGCTAGGAAGAACTAAACCACTATCTTAAGCCACACAAAAATTAACTCAAAATGGCTCAGACTTGGACGTAAGACCTGAAACCGTAAAATTCCTAGAAGAAAACATAGGCGGTAATAAGATCCTTCACATCATTCTTGGTGTTGATTTTTTGCGTCAGACACCAAAAGCCAAGTCTACAAAAGCAAAATAAACAAGTGAGGCTGTATCACACTGAAGAGCATCTACAAAGCAAAGGAAACCATCAACAAAATGAAAAAAGGGGGGGAGGGGCAGCCAAACCAAATGGAAAGAAATATTTCCAAATCATATATCTGGGGTTTGGATATACTTGGATAAGGGGTTAATATCCAAAACATATGAAGAACTCAACAGCATAAAAACTATAACCCTGATGAAAACCTGGGCAAAAGATCTGAACAGACATTTCAAATGACATACAAATAGTCAGCAATACATAAGAAGGTGCTTAACATCATTAGTCATCAGAGGAATGCATGCAAATCAAATGCACAATCAGATACCACCTTCCATCT